ATCAAGATCTATAATCTGGATAAAAAATTTCTAAATATTTTCTGCAAAATCCAACGCAGAAACTACTTCTTCTCTACCAAGAATATTACAGTTTGAATAACTGATTCACATCAAATATAGAAGCTCCAAACCAACCTCATATCATGTCATCAAATCAAATGGATCCAACTACACACGAGCAGCAACAGCCGGCGCAGCGGCAGCGGCGGCAGATGAAGCAGCACCACCGAGGAACGAAAGGAATCCAGCGTTGGCAGGCTCTTGATCATCAAGGAACAAATCTTCAGGAACCCTAAAAGCTCCATGAGCAGAAACAATAGCCAATCCAACAAGAAGAGCAGAGATAAGCAGGGATCCAACACTAGTGAGGAACACCACAACAATGGTGAATACAACTAATATCCCCAACGTTTCACGATCAGAGAAAGTACGGCCAAAGATAACAACGGGCTGATCTGAAGGTCTAAACAAATAGAGAAAAAACCATCCACCGAGGAGAGCAAGAAGGACAAGGAGAGAAAAAGGATGAGATAGAAGGGAAAGAGCAAGTACGCCAGCAAGTAGGGTAACATAATTGACGCGAAAATAGGAGAAGTTTTTGCGGATGCGAGAAGCTGCTTCAGCGACGGAGTCAGGACGGGCAAATGATGTGCGATCGAGAAGTTCCAACCAAGGGCGGCGTTGAGCGAAACCTTGACGGATCGAAGATGAAAGACGGGAAATGAATGAACGGAATGCGGGAGTTGATATAGGTGCCTGAGATTGAGATCCGGCAGTAGCCGCAGATTGTGGACTGGAGATCGGAAGTGTCACCGGAGAAGCCATTGTTTTTTCTTCCTTTGCTTTTGCTCCCTTCTCGATGCGGAAGGTACACAGAGAGAGGGAGTGCAAGTGAGAACAAAAATAATGACAACACTTCTGAAGGCTTCGTTTTTCCTTTTTTTTTTTTTTTGGTTATATATATTATATTCGCCTATTTCTTCTCAAAGCTTGTGACAGCCAGTGATTTCCCTTTTTTCTTTACACTCCATTCCTCATGTTCTCCATGCAACTGACTTTTTACAATTTTAAGAAATTAATTAAAATTTAGAGAGAAGATATAAAATATCATTAAAGTTATTTTATATTTGTATAAAGACATCTAAATTTTTAAAGTATCCTATCACCTCACTAAACAACTATATATTGTTATAAATGAGCTATTTTTATCCATTAACTCGTCTGGTTTGTTTATACACACGTTAAGCGCGTCATGAATCATTTTTCATTTTCATTTACCAGTTTAAAACAGTCACATGTCATTTTCTTTCTTTAATATTAATTATTTAATCAATTTATGTCATCTTCTCCAATTTAAACTCAAAAATAGTCGTTGATAGCCCTAATATTTTGATTTCCATGGCAAGAACAATGTGGGTGTTCTCTGTTTGACGACTTCAACATCTTCCTCAAGAAAATAAGGTAGGAATTCATCTTTTATCTTTTAATTCCCAGTAGAAACGTTAATTTGAAATTTTTTATGGTTGAATTTCATCTCAATTATGTGATTAGTTTTTGACTGAAAATGTCAAATGCGATGTTGAATCGTTTTTGTAATGATGAGAATGATCCGATGTTGCGAGTGAAATTGCGATGCAAACATAGTGACTTACTATCAATGCAAACTTCATGGTCGAAGCATAATCCAGCTCGAAGATTTTGGTCTTGTCCACGTTAGCGTGTATGTTTACTAATTCTTTTATGGAGATCTTTTGTTTATGTATTTTTCTTTAATTTGTGTTTTTTGCGTATTTTTGGAGGATGCGTGCAACTTCTTTAGATACAGGTATCGAGAAGAAGTTGATATACGATCCAAGTATGTTACTCCGAGATTAGCAAAGATAATTAAGGAGTTGGAAGAAGTATTGACATCTTATGAAAGTCGTGTTGAAAGTAAACAAGTCACGATGAAGGAGAAAAAGAAGGGTAAATATTGTAACTTTAAACTAATCGTCTTGATCATTATTGTGTGTTTTCTATGTTTAAGTCTAACCAAGAATGTGAACGATGAAAGTTGTAGGTGTGTGCAACCAAAATTGCCATAGACATCTTTAGTTACTTTCAAATTTTTGAAATTATAGATGTGTGTACCTAGAAGCTAATTGTCTTGATCTTGCTAGTTGTAGGTGTGTGTAACTTGAAGGATATAAGTTGTTGAATGTTCAAGTTATTATTGTTCTTTATTGTCAAAATTGCTATGATTTGAACAATTTGTTAATGTATTTGGTTCTTTTATCTATATTATCGTGGCAACAATTTGAGAAACTTCACAAATATGTCAATTAAAATTTAAAAGGCAACATCAAAATTGACTAAAAAGAAGACTTCATAATCGAGTTTGATTCCAACCATTCAAGTTTGTTTGGTTACACACAAAACTGAGTTTGTTTCCAACAAAAAACAACACAAAAATATGCATAGGTAAATTTTGTTTGTCAAAATGAACAAGACAACATCAAAATGCCCTACTCCCATGCCACAGAAGTTTTCCTACTTGAAGTTGTTTGGCCTTGGCTATTAGCAGCATTAGCAGCAGCTACAAATCTACTTTGGATAACTTTTTCAGCCTTCATTCTTTCCAGGTTGCTACTGGTAATAGTTGTCTTCCCCTTCCATTTGAATCCACATACTGGTGTGTAGCCAATATCACCAGTAACAACATCAGGCCTCTTTGTAACTCTTGTACCAATATTGATGACTCTTCTACTTGGAAATCCAGGCTGGTTAGTCAAATAAATACACACTCAAATATTAGACAATTAATTTTACATTGACAATTGTAAACTTGCATTGAGAGTTGTAAACTTACATTGAGATCCATCTTCAGCTTGGTATATGCCAACATCTACCATTCTTGGCCTTTTAAAAGGTCTTGTTTGTCCTCCACTGGTGTCGTCATGTTCTACTGGTCTCTTCCCTTTTCCTAGGCCTCTCCTACTGCAGTTTGCTTCAGATTTAGTTTGACTTTGTTGAGTCATTCCTCTTCCTCTACTTAGTCCTTCATTCACATTTCTTTCTTGAGCCATTTCTCTTCCTGTTCCTGCTCCTCTGCCTGTACCTTTACCTCTTCCTCTACCATTTACAATTTATACTTTGAAATCAAAATATTAAAACATATCTATATTATCTAACAATGAATAATTATCAGATATATTACCTCTGTATTTGTAGCATTTCCATGTGATTGAACTGGAACACCTCTGCCACTTGCTCTTCCTCTTGTTGATCTTCCTATGCCTCTTTCTCTATCACTTTCAGTAGACCGTATATTAATATATCAATACATATACATCTACATATAACTTACATTTGAAAGTAACAAATAAAAGTACTTGTGTTTGAGAAGATGGTTCAACTGATTGACTTGGATCAGTTCTCTTGCCTGATACTTCTTGGACCACTAACAAATAAAAGTACATGTATATAATATATCACATTTGCTATATTCTTCAAAATACTTCTTGCACCATGTAATCAAATTGTACCATAAAAGATTATTCAAACCTTCTTATCCTAATTTTCTCATTGTCTCTATATTGTCCTTCATCTCAACTTCAAATATGGATTTAACAGTCCTCCAAAACACTCTTCTTCTTTCAACTCCTTTCCAATTTTTTCACCAATTTGCAAGAACATGTCTTGCACATTTTCTATGTTCAACAAGTGGCAATAAAGTATCCACAATAATTTCTAGTCCCTAACGAACCAAGATAACAAAAAAAGAATAAATTAAAATGCAAAACTCAACAATAAAATAGTAAGATGGATATCAGTAATTACCTTTTGTATAACACTAATGATGGATAGTTGATACTCTTCTCCAAGTTCTAGATCATTCTTCCCTAGTTCAAGAAACCATGTCCAGGTATACTGATTCTCAACCTCCACAACTGCCCAGCAAATAGGCAACATTTAGTTGTTTCCATCTCTATAAACTGCCACTAACAACAGGCCTTTACACACACCTTTGAGAAAACACCCATAAAAACCAATCAACGTCCTAGCACCTCCAAAAAATGTTTTCTTTAAAGCATTGAATCAAACATAAAATCCTTCAAAAAAATTCTGCCCAGTTTCAAAATGTTCTCCAACCTTCACTATACAAGTACTACCTGGATTTTTACTCCTTAATATTTCATCTCTATAGTAAAAAATCCTACCATATTCCACAATGTGATCATCCATGATCTCTTGTAACACTCTAGTCCTAGATCTTTTCACTATTGTCCTACCAACATTAATATCCAACTCCTTTCTAATAATGTCCTGCAACAACACAATGTTGATGTTTGGCTGTTGAGTTATTCTTTTTTTGTATTTGGTGGTCAAAAATTTTGAGTTGCACATGTAGTTATGAGTTGATGTCAAACATTTTTGGATAGGGTTGTATGTTTTAACAATGAAATCTCCACTAGTTCTGTCCTTACTTGCACACAACAACCAAGGACAACTCTCTTTATAATATCTCACTCTAACTCTGCCAGGCTTATTTACATATTTTTCAATTTGAATATGTTCTTGGATTGCATATCTTGTCACTGCCACTCTAAATTCTTCAACAGTTCCAAAAACCAGTCCTAATTCCCAAACAATCTTTTCAGCAGTTGTATCAAACACAACTCTATTTGTGGTTTTCTTTCTTCTATCAGGTTTATGCATTACTTGATCAACTGTTCACCATCTTCCCAACCTGTTTCATCTATTTCAAATCTAGGAACTTCATCACTTAGATAATAAGGTTCATCACCTCCTAGCTTACCAACTAAGCTTTCCCTAATACCATTATTTGTCTCATCATACCCTATATTTGGACCTTTCTCATTAACATTAATCTAATCTGAAGTAGTTCCCCTACTTCTCCTTTGTGACCTTTTGAAATGCCTCTTGGTTTCCCTTATATCTACATACTCTTGATGAATATCATTGTCAACCTCAGTATCTTCACTAGTATCCCCTTCAGATCATAATTCATCTTTCACTTCATCATCAGTTGGATCATTATCTATTATAGGATAATCAGATGAAGGTACATAGGAAGGAGGAGGCACAGTAAAAGTAGATGGGGGAGGCACAGTGGAAAGAGGAGGCACAGTAGAAGGATATGGTGGAGGCACAGTAGAAGAAGGAGGCACAGTAGAAGGAGATGGTGGAGGCACAATAGAAGACTGAGCTTCAAATGGAGTGCAAGAAGTTTTAGAAAGACCAGTTGTAGGGATGGAAGCTAAAGTAGAAGTAGGAGACTGATTATCAGGGTTAGAAGTCTCGTTAAAAGATTCTTCACCTACCCCACTTTCAGTCACATGGGGGACAAACTCCAATTCAAGTGGGGCCAGATTAGCTTCACTAACTCCATGAAAAACATACACCTCCATTGTATCCCCATTATTTATCATATTGAAAAGGCCAAATATAACCTTATCATTATCAACAAGGACCAATAACCCATCCCACTTGATTAAAAAATCATAATCTATTATATGTCCTAGTTCGTTTATGTAGCCCCTCAACTCAAAATAAAACATCCTATCAACATCTACATCTAGCCCCCAATATATTTAGGTGGTGGATCAAATTCTATTACCCCCCCCCCCCCATGATACCATCTTAAAGTTATCAGAGTAAAAGTTATCCTGAAAAAACATGTAGCAACAACAAACACAATTCAAACACACATTTCAATAACTAACTCTAACAAGTTGTACACAACAAACATAATCACTAACAAACAAAAACAACAACAGAAGCACTAACTAACAAAAGTAGAAAAAAGCACTAACATTTAGCTCTAACTGTACCAACAAAACAAAAGACTAACAATAGCAGTTGATAATGTACAAATTGAAGTCTACAAATGTATAAGAGACAAATAATAAGATTTGAACTAAGTGGACAACATCTAACCCTAACCTAAAACACAATCACAAAACCCTAATCACTAACAGTCGCACTAAGTCAATAACACAATGCCCTACACTAACTAAGTCGATTACGCAACATACTCAAAAATATCCTAACAATGGCAACTGTAGGAGGTCGATTCCAACACTTCTACACTGTAATAATCCATCAAATCATAATAATAAAAAAAAGTGAAGATTTTTATCATATGTTTTAGAACCCTAACCTGTTAGACCTTCAATCTCCAAGAATCTTCACAAATACACATCAACAGCGATCAATAACGAGATCGTCAACAACACTTTCGTCAACAACAATACTTGTGTTTTCGTTCGATTTTAGGAAAAAGGTGAGAAATGAAATGAAAAGGAGAAGACAAATTTTCTTTTAAAAAAGGATCGGATCGGGTTAATTCTATCCTAGAGAGTGAGCAACACACACACTACATAGACGACGGAATGGGTAAAAATGACCCATTTACAACTATATATAGGTGTTTAGTGGTGTAATAGGACACTTTTAAAGTTTAGGTGTCTTTATGTAAATATGGGACAACTTCGATGGTGTCTTTATGTCTTTTCTCTAAAATTTAATTATTAAAAATTTATTCTATATATGGACATAATTGACAGCTTACAATTTATTCATTTGGCAGTATTTAGCTAATTAACTTCTAAAATAAATAAATCATTGGATCGATTTTAATAGTTATAAACTTCTTTACAATAATAATCGCTGATAATTCATATTTGATTCAATTGCTTATGAAAATTATCGATGTTCAGATACTTCAATCTCTTTTGATGAGTGAATTTTTAGGGGATAAATACTCGGGAAAAAATTCAAGAATCTTCTCTGATAAATTGTCACCTTCTAGTTGGCTATTGATATCTTGATGATGCTTTAAAGGACTTTAGAGTTAGTTGCTTAGTATTTAATGTTGATATTGGAAACATAACAATTAATTTGATGTAGAAATTACATAGTTTGCATTAAGCGTATCTTGATGCCCATAAAGTTAATGAGTTAGAATTGTAGTTTTATCTTCAAGTAAGTAGCGTTGTGATTGCCAATTGAGTTATGATGATGACCTGCTGGGTGTTTCATTTATTTGTTAGCGGCCTTATACAAATACGCATTATTGTGAAGCATGCTTGTAAAGTCATCTTACTTATTGATTAATTAGAATTGTTTGATGCTTATGGTAGCTATCTTACTAGCTATGGTCCAAGAATTTGAGTCACAAACATACAAATGTCCCTTTATTTATTGCTTGACAAGCGTAGATTGCCCATAGAGCTATATTGAAATTAATCTACTTACTTATGAACATTCTCTATGCCTAATTTGAAATCACCAACCCTTAGTAGAGTTTTGTATGCTTAATTAAGGTGTAGTTATGGGAACCTAGACGGATCAAATATAGCTATAGGAGCCCAAACAAGACCATACACCAAACCAAGTACAAATATATAAAAATTACGGTATTAAAAATTTCAGTATGGTATGATAATTCAATATATATCAGATCATGCTCACCCCTACCTAGAGGGGCTTGATTAGCTAGTTTCTTTAATTATTTTGTTATGCTTAGATTCAAGAGCAAGTCATTACGCCCATCTTATTTTTGACTTTAACATTGCTCAATTATTTATGACCTTTCATATTCGTCACATTATTTTCCGCATTCTTACCTACAAATCTCGAAAAACAAGTACACAAGGTCTCTTCAATACAGTAGTCGAGTTCCAATGGATTGGTCATCTCCCATTTTTCTAGAGTTGATTGTACTTTTCGTGTTCAGTTGATAGGTAGGTCGGGATCCATTCCCCACATAATATATTACTTTTAGGGGCCGTTTGATTATTGTATAAGAGTAACTTTTGTACATGAATAAAAAGTAGTATTAGTTTTACCATGTTTTAAGTTTTTTATTAAGTTGAAAAGTCAATCTAACTCATGCAATGTTTAGTAGGTAGAGTTCTAAATGTTGTATAAAAAGTTATTAATGTATTAATTTTATATGGTGTTTGGTTGTGTTTTTGTAATCTTACATAATTAATACTTATATAACTTATGAGGAAATTTATGTATAAGTTATGCGGGGCAGAAGCTGGAATAAGTTATGCGGATATTAGTTATACATGTATTAAAATAATATATTACACATTTACCCCTATTAATTTATTTCTAAATCATTTTTTATTGAAAACGTTAACCCTTTTTTTTTCCTCCGCTGAGAACTTTCCCTAACTACTTGTTTTTTTTTTAACAAAAAAAAATTCTTAATACACGAACATTTTTTTCTAAGCTGCAGAGCTCGTGCAAAATTAATCGCCGTTAATGTTGTAGTTTACCCTTTTTTACCGTCTATCCATGGCTAATTTTGTATCAAACCAAGAGCAAAATATTTATTTTTGTAAGAAAATTTTATATTTTGTTTTTGTTTCTTCTTTACTGAACAATATTTTTTTATTTTGTTTTCATTTGAATTACAAATGCAAATATTTATATTAATATTATAAATTGAATAGTATATATTTTGTCTGCGCATATGTTTTATATATATATATATATATATATATTAATAATATTTTATTTTTATAAGTCATAAACATTAAAAAGAATAACAAAAAGAAAAAAAAATAAAAGTCCATTATAGAGGGAGAATTTTTTCTCTTTACTTTTTATTCAAAATGAGGTAAAATTATACTCTTTGTTTATTTAATTGTAAATAATATATATTAATTTAAACCAAATAATATTCAGTAGTTAATAATTCATGTATTATAGTATCTATATAACTAAATAATACCTACATAGCTGAACTCTTCATAACTAAACCCTGCATAACTAATACCTGCATAACTCTAACCAGTAACCAAAAAGTCTATTTGCAAGCTTTGGTCTATAGATATGTATATATTGTTGGTTATGCTGACCTTATTATTTTTTTCTTTTAGCACAATGGTTCGTAATTGGCCTGAATTGTACATAATTATATGTGTTCAGTTTATATGTTTTTAGACATCATGATGGTGGCCTGTATAGTATTACTTAATTATAGATGTTATCATTGTCTTGATAATATATACTTTAGTTTCTATTTGATGTGACTTGTAGATATTAGCTGAGTTGATTGCAGATTTTTGTGGACAAAAGTCTTGCTAGTGACAATCTTAATTTTAAGTCAGGACATACTAATTTGTTTTTTGATTTTACGGCTAGTATTAAGTTTGTAGCTTGAATATCCAGCAAGGGTCGACTTAGGGTCAAGTGTGCACTAGGTGCCAGTTGCATCCCTAAGTTGGGTGTGACAATTGAAACCCTGGTAAAATAAGAAAAATAAATATAATTAATGATCAAGATTTGGACCTTGAGAACAAACAAAATTAATAATTAAAATCAAAACCTTCATTAAGTAAAAACAAATAAAGACTTAAACATCCCTATTTCTCTCCATTTGTGGCTAAGGTGTGCATGAATGTTACTATTTTGATACATTTCCTACGTGAAATCATTACAAATGAAAGAAACACAATGATGCAGGAATGAATTAAGAAGTTTAGGCAGAGTGTGTACTGTGCGTTGGAAGGGTTGCACCTAGCCGTTAAGTTGGTTAGTTTTTATTTAAGAAGAATAGTTTCATATTGTTTAGTTTAGTAATGTGTCATCAATGTTGCAGATGGTCATGACAGGCATACAAATGAGTTGTATAAATTCTTTTCAGGGTCCATATTTTTGATTTCCTGTTGATACCCATTAAGTCGTGTGGCTGAATCTTGATAGTACAATAGTTGCTTTTTGGTTTATTTACCAGGGACATGATTGCATGTGGAAGAGAGTTCTGTACAAGGCCAACAGATTAGATAAGATGGTTAAAGGAGGAGGTCAACTATTCACGGAGAAGGTATCAATAGTACCAGAGGAAATCTTGGCTATCATTGATGTGTTCCCTCAGTTGATTGTTGATCCAAAGGGTTTACCACCACAACGAGGACCCACAAGATATCTCTTGAGGCTGGAAGTGATCTTGTGAACTTAAGGCCTTACAAATACTCATCAGCACATTAATGTTATTGAGAAGTTCATAGAAGAAATGTTAGAACAAGGCATTGTTTAACCCAAATCCGGTCCATACGCTTCACCTATGGTGTTGGTTTGCAAGAAAGATGGGAGTTGGAGGTTGTGTCTGGATTATAGAGGGCTCAAAAAAGCAAAAGTTAAAGACAAATTTTCAATTTATATTATAGAAGAGTTGATGGAAGAACTAGTGGGCTCTAACATCTATTCTAAGATAGATTTAAGACTAGATTATCATAGATGGCCAAGGAGGACATTTTTAAGACAACTAGAATGCCGTCATAAATAAGTATCTGGTCATGCCCTTTAGGCTATCCAAGCTCCATCATGTTTCAAAAGTTTGATGAATCATGTCTTTAAAGAGAACCTCAGGAAGTTTATATCGGTTTTC